CATAAACAATAGCAAAGAATATAAGAACGAAACAAAAATAAGAAAAGATAAAATAATACAAAAAATTCAATTAAAAAAACTAATTGATTTTTTTGACAATTGTGTTAAAATATAAAACTCTATAGAACCAAAAACTATTTGATAAAACCAATGTAATGTTAAAACTGTAGATGAAAAATGTATCACGAACTGTTTTTGGTGGTTGTTCATTCTGATTCTTCAAAATAATTTCCGGGACCTTTGAATTCTGGTTCGAAATACTTACGTAAGTACTCCGGTCTTTCATACGTTTGTAACTTTTGTGATTTCCCTGATCCTAAATCATTTGGATATTTGAATTCTTCTGTTTTTTCGACGGATGGCCACTCGAAGTGATCGTTTGAGACCTGTGGAATCGGTACTGTATGAGCAGGGAATCGCAAGGGGGATGAATCGTACTGATGTGGAGGAACACTGCCGTAGTCTGCATGAGAAGTATGAGTGTTGGCATAACCGACGTCGTAATCTGCAAAATTGGAACCTTCTCCGTAATTCACAGAATTACCCAAAGAAGGGTGGTAGTAAGTGGAATGTTGAACAGGTATCTGATGGTGATAGACCGGAGGAGTTACTGGCTGCTCATAAGGGTTGTAGTTTGGAGGCGTCTGGTAGTGAGCGGTCTCATAATGATGCGGAGTAGATAGTTTGTAGTGAGTAGCGGGCTGATGATAGTTTTGACCGTGATACTGCGGAGCGTAACCGCCTTGTTCAGCCGGTCCATTGTTAAGGTGATGGGTCACGGTGGTTGGATGGTGCGAACTGCCGATTTTCTTCACCACTGCTTGAAAACCGTTTTTGGAATCGGCCGTGTACTCGACCAAACGTATTGTACCGTCTGGTTCCATCAGACTATAGTAGCCCCGCACCGTATCGCCGTCCCGTTCTTCGTATTGTTTCTTTATGTCACCCGTGTGCGGATCGTGGACGCCGTACTCGAAGCGATAAGCTGGATGAGCCTACACATAACAGTACTGTTATTACTATTGTTTATATTACTGAAGATTTTTTTTTTTTTTTATTTAGCTCTTATATTTTCTTATTGTACTGATTTGTTTACTTTAATTAGTTTCAGTAAGTGTTATCAAAAGAAGCTAATTATACTAAATAAAATGGTAAAATAACATAATGGTTTTTTGTGAATTGGCTTATTAATTGAATAACTTCTAGCCAAGTAGGACGAGTAAATGTATAAAACACTAATATTTTTCTCGTAGAAAATTGAAGACTAGAGTAACATTTTGTAGGGTACAAAGAAATTTATTATTTTGTTTTATTTTTCTATATTGAAATTCTTATGAATTTTAATGTGATCGTGTGTAATACTAGTCACATAACATGTCACTGAATTAGTGCCATTGCACAAGATATTTATAATAAATGTGTCTGGATATTTAAACTGTTTAAATATTGTTTACTTTACAAATAGCTTAATGTCGATAGCGTAATGTACATAATTATTTTTGTAGTTGATGTCGTACTCGTTCATTGATAAATGTTGTTTTTGTCAGCTAGCCAAAGTAACGTACTGTAATTGACGTTTATATCAGTAAAAATAATGGCGTGTTATTTGTTATTAGGTCTATGAAAATATTTTGTCATACCGCAACGAATCAGACAATATTGAAAACAGAAACAAAGGGGTGGAGGTCGGCAATGTTCACCTATTGAAAGATTTTAATCGATATGCCTTTTTGTTTTATATTTCATTTCAATAGACTATCCATTCGGTTATATTATTTTTGTAAAAAACCTCCTATAGTAGGAAACATCTTCTTTTATGATATGTAGCAATTTATTTAATGGAGAGTAAATAAACTATCATAACGATAATAACTTTATAGTAATGTTAATTTGTATCAAATGTAGTGTGAATCAATTAATAGTGTAGCCAATAAGTGAATTACATTAGGTTTTATTATAACTCGTATTTAATTATATTTATAACTGTATCTAACTTGTAATTTTTTTTTAATAATAATAAACCTTTAAAGTTAAAATAAGTGTAAAATTCCTAATCTATTTATTTGATATACATTTTATTATATTATCAGAGTATCTTAAGATAATTACTCAAAATGCTTATCCGTTATAGAGCCACTTTATTAGAAGACCCTATATTTTTAATAATATGATTATTTAACACACTTTGGCACAGTTGTGTTGATTGTTATTGTAGACACTTACGTATTCCCCGTGATCATATTCAGGAGCATAATATCCATTTTTCGATTCTTCTTTTGCTTGATCTACAATGTTGTTGTTTTTGTTATTGAATCCGTGATATGTGACTTGGACGTTTTCCGACCAACATGTGTCGTGCACGATATGCCCAAACATTAAAAGCAGCACCTTAAATTGATTGATAAAAAAAAAACAAATTTAAAATTATTATGCAAATATGATATAATAACTATTAGTGTTATTATTATAATCGATTTTTTGCATTCTATTAGAGTCAAATGCGTGCGACGTGCAAGAAAAATGAAAAAATGTGTTGAAATTTAACAAATAGTCGGAAAGTGGCATTGATCCGATTTATAGTTAATGAACTCCACGTGGTCACGTCCATTAAATGCAAAATTATAAGCGTACTAAACACTTAAAAAAGTGTAATGGACATTAACTGGTTGTAGACACCTATTCCAGGAATAATTATTTCACATTTCACTTAAGTACAGCTGAAGTTTTACAATGGCAAATTATTAGAAACTGTTTATCATCAGAAATTATTAAAAAAAAGTATATGGCACTAGTAACCAGAGCCCGATATGGTTTAAGCCCTAACCTAGTGGTTAAGGTAACGTCGAAGATCATTTCGTGTTTAAAATATATCGTCAAGGGGATTGTAAAAAATGTTTTTATGCATAACCACTAAACCCTAAGTACATCGTTAACATGTATCCACAGCCAGTATGATATCAAATGAAAGACAAGATGATTTAAGATCTCATTTTGACAAACTTGAGAAATCAACTGTGTAACATAAAACATAAGTGGTAATTAAGATTTGGTTCTGCATAGTTTCAGGTAAAATATTAAATTTTAGTACCAGGGATTCATAAGAATCATCGGTAACATTATTAGGGCCGTCATAATGAATCGTGTTGGTGGCCAATTGAAAATCTCTGGCGAGACATTAATCTTATAAGTTTCAATAAAGTGGTGATGCACACTGTTCGAGCCACGGCTTGTTTTCGCGAATATCCATCGTAACGCAACTGTTGTCCCAGAAATCATTACGAACTCATTGGTTTTGTAAATATTTAAATCTTTCTCGACGGTGAGTATTGTGTACTAAAACTAAGTATCGCCATAGATTAAATACTATGTGTAATTTATCTATAGTATCATTGCGATGTCAGTTATGGATGACGTTACGTGCACTGCTCGCGGCGAAATCGTTCGTTGTTCCGGCTCTAAGTAAGTCGTCTAGCCACAATCGCACATGGACACCAGACAAACAATCCGTTGAAAAAATGACGGCGAGTCACTGGACACCCTTTTCGAAACATCTAGACGTACGATCGCATTCATTAGTCATTATGGATTCCTGGTATTAAATTTCAGATTCACTAAGAAATACAGTCTAAAATATCGTGTGTGCGCGATATCTCATGAAGTCCTGGTACGAAATTTTGTATTTGTGGCACGGAGGCGTAATTTAGAACTTAATCAAAAGATACCGTTCATACGACCCAAATCAGCGCTTATTTTATTGGTATTCCTGCGAGTACAAAATAAATTTTATCAAATTATAGCGGTTCTCCTGCTAGTAATTTCGAACGGGAAGACTACGTAATTTTTTAATGGTTAATTATTATACTTATCGAACAGGTTGAGAAGTGAGGCCTTTATTATTTTTTTTATAATTATGACATTTACATAGATCCCCTTGGTTGACGCTAGTCCTGAATGTAAATACATTCTCATTTCTCAAATTATAACGTACAGCAGATCCATTTGGGTTAATAAAAAAATTTGAAAACTTTCGTACAATTTTTTTACTATAATTTTTATTTACAAATAAATCCTCGGTAACAAGGGATACTTTCTAATGATTTTATTCGTTAGGGCTGATTAGAAATAATCAAATAATCTTTTTGGGTTGTTGTGATCTTCTATTTATTGAACGGATAAACTAATTATCTTATATTTTGTGCTACATTTAATTCGAACACAATGCCTGAGCGTCGTTTACTCTTTTACTATGTCACTTCCCTTCAAATCGTTCCGATGAATGATTTATTATTTTTATAGGTACAACAATTCTATGTATGATTATGAAGAGAATTGACGATTAAATTAGTTCTTACTAATTTTATATTATTATATCAAATTCGATTTTTATCAAAAACTTTGAATAATATTAAATATATATTATTAAAAATTTTATTTGGTTGGTAAAATTAATAAAACATTCATAATTTTCATTTTAATAACGATATCTAAATACTAAGGTCAATGGTGGTCAATTATAGATTAATGACAGTTATGGTAAATTTATTTAAAAACCAAATCGTCCGAGATTTGTCAAACCATAACTAACTCGATAATATTTTCATAAGTGCGTTTTCAGAACTCTATTAGCACAGGGTCAATTATTTAATGAATATTTTATTCGACGCCCTTGATTTGAAAGTATTCTATATATATATATATAAGTATACAAAATTATTTATAAAAAAAAACAAGAATCTCGAAACGGAACATTTTATTTTCGAAGGAATATTGTGCTTCAAAAAACATTTTCATAGCTGTTTATAATTTTTTAATATAACCTAACAATTGTTATAATGAAGGTATATCAACAAATTGATGTTTCTTTCTTAAATTTAGCCAATTAAATTAAAAATTAAATATATTATTTTAATTTTAATGAAAAATAATTGGCGGAATTACACAAACACCGTATCTAATCTCATATATCAAATAATGTGGACATAAAACAACAAAATTTATATTCAGGCCATCTAGTCGTGTCCAAATAACTGTTATGATTTAATAATAATTTCAATATTAGTTACACTCACAATAATTAGATATGATTAGAAAAAAAAACTGAGAAGTCATTCTTAGTTCCTATAAATAGTTTTGAACAACAAGCCGATATTTTTTTAACTTTTTGTAAATCAACAACGTTTTAATGGATTTAAAAAATGTGAAGTTACACAAGTTTAAAATTCAGACGTACGGTTTGATTAAAATATTGAACTTTTATTTAAAATATAACTAGTTTTTCAATGATTTAGATAAAAAAATCGTTAACTTAATACATCTGTTTAATAAAATTACTGATTAATAACAGATTCGGATTAGAAAAACTTGAACGCGTTAAAATGCTAAAATGTCCATAGTCTACATCTCTCTCCCCAATTTTTTACTTTTTTATGCATTAGAAAAATTTCTTAAATTTCCATGAACCATTTACCTCGGCCATAAATCTCTTAAATATGAAGTGGTTTAGCGATAGTAAAATATTAGTGGTTAGAATGAAAGCGGAATTTTAGTTTTAGTCGTTTTATTTAAATTTTTTCTGCAAAATCATTTATAAGAAATATTGGTTAAATTTTATTTATAGTTATATTGATTTTTAAATTTAGAGACATTGTTTACAAAATTAATTGCATTTAGATAAACATTATCAAATAATCTTTACAATATCATAAAAAATGTACGAAATTTTTATTAAAAGTGCGTGTACGAACCTTATAGTATTTCATTATGACACTAATTTTCAGCACTAGTTGTATTTATATTATATGAAATGGATCAAAATAATCTTTTGGATAAATCCAATACGTTACATAAATTTTGAAAGCATGCAACAAATGATCGGTCGGAAATAACAAAAACACCGAAGATTTTGCACTAATAAAAAATTACACAATATTAATAATGTTTACAGATAGTTTTATATGTTTAATAGAAAAGCTGTTGATTATAAAATATAAATAGTTTTCAACAATCGATATGCAACAACTTAAATTCATCACGTTGTTTATCGTCAACACACAAATATATACCTCTCCTTCTCCACTGAAAACGCGACTTTTCTTGTCCTTGCTCCTTCCCAATGTTTGCATTTGGGCATTACGATGCATAATAACTTCACCGGCTAAAAAACCATCAGGTACGTGCCGTAACGATGACCTAAAATCGATAGGCGATAGTTTTACATTTAATTGTGATCGCCAAGAAGGACCTGAACGGATTGTGGACTATTTGTCTTTAAATTTTGAAATAAAAAAAGTAAATAATACGGTTAATGTATGTTTTATTATTTTAATATATAAGGCACCGGTAATATTTAACAATAATAATAAATATTGTCAAATACTTAAAGTAACATGCTAAAAATCTAGTAACCTCATTTAATTTATAATAGAGTTATTTAACTCTATGTTATAAGAATAGTGTGATTAGTTTTTTACNTGACGATTTTATAAGAATAGTGTGATTAGTTTTTTACTTATAGCACTACCAGAGTTTACCCGTTGTGCAGAATTTTGAAGTTTTCTCTTAACTAAATTTATGTTTCAAAAAATAATTTGATGAGTGAATTAATAATTTTTACGTGAACAATTATACATTATGTGGAAAGACATTTGTTTACAGTTAAAAATTATGAATTATCCCTGTTTAGATAATCATGGTTGAGTAACTGCCTTATAACTGGCAAGATCGGTAGGTGGGTGGCTAGTCTCTGTAAAAATTGCATACCTTGGTTTTTGCATAAACTGACAGTAAAGTAACTAAAGTGCTACTTTGTTTTACATTTTTTTTTTGTTTTTCTTAAATAAATACACCTTTTGTTTGCAAAAAGATTAGATAAACTATTAAAATAATCTTCTTGAGAACTCACTTAGGTGGGTCTTCGTCTTAGTCCAATCTTTAACTAGTAATTTCTAACATTCAGGTTCGTTTAAAACGAATACTTCATTTTGTAATTAACAAACTGATTGCTCACGTTAAAATGTATCAGCCTATAATAATAGTTTCCAACGTATAATGGAGTTATAGTGAAACGCATAAAATAAAAATTTTGTACGTTTATAGAATAACCTATATTTTATAAGCTTTGAAACATAGCAAGAATGTAGGTCAGGAATTATATGGAATTTAAAAATGAAATTTGGATACCTCCTTAGGCGGTTTTACGACAATGTTAAACGATTCAGAAATGTGATGAATAGGTATACATCTTCTAAACTTTATATTTCATTTCTATAAAGAGTTTGATAGTAACGCATCCATCAAAACACTATCCAATTGTCATTTTACTAATGTGTATTGACTAAAAATTAACGATCTATTGTTGAAATCAAACTCGAGTTACAATAGTGTATTGCATTTTGTTTTGCTATTAAGCTTAGAATTTTCTATACTATTGTAGTAGTTTAATATAAGATGTTATAAAATGTTATTAAAAATATTGTTGAATTCTATGATGAATAAAAATACACTTACTATATATATATATATATCATACGAATTCGATAATTTTAATCGATGATGAAATAATAAATACCTAAAACACTTCATTATCAGACTTGAAAACAACTAATAAATGATTATTTTTATTGATACAGCTGTGACAAGATCATTTACATTTGTCTTAAGTTAAAAATTGGTCTTGAGGGTTATACTATTCTTTAAAAAAAAGTAGCACTATTGGTAAAATGTTTGAGGTAATATTTATGAAAAAATGTCTGTTTCACTGTATACTTCAGTGGATATCACTTTTTTTATTTTTAGTAAAGGTTGGTCAAGTGAACTCCAAGAATTTCTTTATTCGATGACCTCATCTTTTAAGAAGTTTAGGTGTACGAACCTCAATGGCATAATAATTATGTGACGACAAGGCAAAAAAAATTCGCTTACCGGATCACTGAACATCCCAAGGTTAATTCAATAGCCTAGTAAAGCCTAGTTCATTAAATATTAAAGTAGATTGCGAAAAGTAAGACCCGCTTTCCCGAAGAGGTCCATATAATGTCATCTGTACATAACCTTAGGTATGGTCGGACTTCCTTGGCATCAAATTGAATTGTTATAACATTTCATAATTATGCAAAACGAACAATTATTATTCATAATATTTGGGACATGCTAAGTAACTCACGAGACACAATTTTAATTAAACATATATAATATTATTCAAAAGTGTTAAATCATTACGTGGTACTGTAAATATTGAGTCCGTTTATAAACAAATAAGTTTAACATTATTGATAACTAAGATTTTCCTAAAAACTAAAATAAAAATAAAATTTTGAATTTTCTATACAATTACTAATTATAATTATAGTTAGTTTTAAATATACAGTGATTGACAAATATTTATTATTATTAATTTAAATGTTTCAATTTTTTTTAACTCATAGTTATTTAGGTAGATATTATGGGTGAAGTTTACTTTTTATTTCAAACAACGTTGTATCATATTAAAAGAGTATGTTTCTTATTTTTAAGTTATTTTTCACTATTTTACTTTTAAACACTACTATGGTGGTCTTTTAACGATTATAAGTTAAGAACATGGTAATGCTGAGTTATTATCTTTATTTTTCGGTAGTTCATATGAAAAACAAGTACACTCATGATATCATATTCAACAATGCTTTATTCATTAATCAATATGTAATTTACAATTATTAATTAAGTTTAATGTATTACAATATTGTTCTGTCAATATTAGCGCTTCAAGTTTGTTAATGATTTACACAATGAATAAGGATCGTCATGATTTGCATAAACGTTGACTGTAACTATTGTCAACGAAATTATGTGAAAAGACGATAGCTATTGGCTAGATTGTTACCAACTTTAATCTCGAAGGATCTCTATTGATCCCAATATATTTGTTAGAGATTTTTGAACTTGAATTTTCAGTTACCTGCAATGTAAATTCTAATTGTCCAGAATTTTTCTGTTTGACCTACAAAATATGTCGTAGTTATATTAAATACATGCACGTCTACTAATATTATATTTGGAAGGTTTAAATCATTAAAAAAAAATAGGGTAACTTAATATTTTTGGATTAAGTTGCGGCTTTATATCTTACATGTCTCTATAGAAGAAATTTGGGGTTTTTTAGCATTGATAACAATCACAATTTTATTATTATCGTACTTAAAATTTATAACGGATAAGTAATGTAAAATGTTTTTTTTAAGGCGATTATTAATTTGTTTTGGTCATCGAAATTATTTTTTAAAAGAAGTACCCGAGTTTCAATAGTCGAACATAACACTGATTTATCATAGAGATTCGATACAGATGATATTCAGGTTTTATCGAGCAATATTTTCAACAATTTAATATAAGATTTAATTTTTTTCTTGTGCTTAAGAATTTTTTGGTTGAAAAAAAATATGTCATCAAGTCGTCACTTGCCATTAAAAAATCATAAAATAAAATAATTTTAACTCGAATTAAAAATATAAATTATTATAATAATTGATTTAAGCTTATATATGAGCTTAAATATAGTTGATAAAACAGTTTTTTCTGTGTTGGTAAATAATACAATAAGTTGGTTATCAAATAAATATAATGGTAGATAATTATTATCTATTATTAGAAACGCTGATCTGACTTATACACATAAGTTTTTTTGAAAATTCGTATCAAATTTTGTCACAGTTTAATAAATCATATTAACAACTTTTTTTTTAGATATTAATTTTTAAAAAAATAAATCCTCGTTGTTGGTAATATATAAAAAAAAGATATGAATTTTGATTTCAAAATAAGTCAATAGTATAATTGTATAAATTTCTATATTGTGTGAAGTTAAAGTGCCACTTAATGTGCCTGTTTTAATTGTAGTATCAAATATCAATTGATTTGTCATACGGCTGTTTAAATTAATTTGAGTAAATAAAACACAAGCACGTTAAATATCTTTGGTCTCTTAAATTAGGCGAATTTTAATTGAAGGATTCTGCTGACCAGTTTTAATGAAATGTTTCGGAATTTTTGAAAATAGGGTTAGTATGTTTTTATTAATTTACGGGTCATTGTTCTTAAGCTTAATTAACATATTACTTTGGAGATGTTTTGAATTAAAAATCAATTTTTCGAAACCAAAAGATTTTATAGATGTTAAAAAGCTTATAGGCATAACTTATGCTTAATCATCCATTATAGAATATAAATATTATTCATAGTAACACAATAAGGAAATGTTTTTATTCTTCCTATTAGTTTTTTGATTGGCTTATAAGTCAACTCCTTATTAAACAAATAAGTAAATTTATGTCAAACATGTTTCAGCGAAAAATTCAATATATAAAATAATATTCTATTTTTCACAACAACATTATAATACAAGTTATATTAACTATAACTAATGTTGTAATTTTTTTCATAATATATGAGTTTTTTATCAAATGAGTTATTTTTTTTAAATTGAATACTCTTTTTGGTTTAGTGTAACAAGGTAGTTACAAACAGAGGATAAGCGACGTCCTACATAGTAAATTAAAAATATTAATTGTATCAAAATATTCCTATAATATACTTTTAAAAATATTGTAAAAATATTTTTTAAAAATAATTAATTAATATACTCCATAATATTATATCATATATAATAATTTTTTAAATATTTGAAGAGTGAATGTGTCAAACGTTCCAAATATGTGCCAAAAACATATTTGTTCAGAAAACACAAAAAACAATGGTAACATGGGCATGTCTCACATATTGAACACCATCTATGAATGCAATTTTGTACAAGTAAAAAATTTAATTGACATTTGAAACACATACAAGATTGTGGCCTTTGGCACATAGAACATAAATCAGAAATAAAACAATTTTTCACTTTTTTGGCACATAGAACGTTTGACACATTCACTCTTTATTTATTTATGTACATTTTAAGAATATGTTAGAGAAAATAAATATAAAATATTGTACTAAAACTATAAAAATTTGAAAAGTATATTTTTAATTAAAATGTACATATTTTTGTTTCAG